GCTATAGGATTTGGAGAACTTCTGGGCTAGTTAATACATACGTGTGCCAGGAGGATTGTGGACCCCCATTTTGTGGGGACAGATGCTTCTGTGACTCCTCTGGACCTTGCCCCACGTGTCATGTTCTCTGTTGTATAAATAAACCGGCATGTGAGTGTTTCCCTGAGTTATGTGAGACTGTCTAGGACAGTTGTCAGCAAACTCATTAGTCAACAGAACCAAATATCAACAGTACAACAATTGAAATTTCTTTTGAGAGCCAAATTTTTTAAACTTCTTATAATGCCACTTCTTCAAAATAGACTCACCCAGGCCATGGTATTTTGTAGAAGAGCCATACTCAAGGGGCCAAAGAGCTGCATGTGGTTCGCGAGCTGCAGTTTCCCAAACACAGGTCTAGAAAACATTATACTCGTTCTGTTGAACCAATGAGGATATATCCAGACAACATACTAGTATTCAGCACTAAGAAGAAATTTCATATATATTTGAAATTTTGTTTGACTGTTACACCATTCAACTGGTAATATGACACACTAACAAGGAGAGAGTAGATGCTCAATGCGTAGGCATGGAAACATGAAACAGACTAATGAATCTCAGAGGGAAGGGGGAAGGAGAGTGAGGGACGGGGTGGGGGGGTGAGGGTTCCAAAAGAGATTAACCAAAGATCTTATATGCATACTTAGAGGCCCAGTGCATGAATTCGTGCAACAGTGGAGTCCCTTGGCCTGGCCTGCGGGGATCATGCCGAATCCATGCCCAGGCCTCCAACATCCCCTGAGGGGTCTTGGATTGTGATAGGGTGCAGGCCAGGCCAAGGGCCTCTAGTAAAAACATATGCAGGAAACTTAAGTGCATATTATTAAATGAAAGAAGCCAATATGATGCCAACTACAGCAATCCCCCCTTATCTGTAGTTTTACTTTCTGTGGTTTCAGTTACCTGAGGTCAAATGTGATTGGGAAATATTAAATGTAACTTGCAGAAATAAACAGCTCATGCCGAAACTGGTTTGGCTCAGTGGATAGAGCATTGGTCTGCGGACTGAAAGGTCCCAGGTTCAATTCCGGTCAAGGGCATGTACTTTGGTTACAGCCACATCCCTGATAGAGAAACAACCATGATGTTTCTCTCTCATCAATATTTCTAGCTCTCTGTCCCTCTACCTTCCTCTCTGTAAAAAAAAAAAAAAAAAAAAAAAAAAAAAAAAAAAAAAAAAAAAAAAAAAAAAAAAAAAAAAAATCAATAAAATATATTTTTTAAAAAGAAATAAACAACTCATAAGTTTTAAATTGCACATCATCCTGAGTATCATGATGAAGTCTTGCACCAACCCACTCTACGCTGCCCAGGAAGTGAATCATCCCTTTGTCTAGTGAATTTACACTGTCACACCCCTCACACTTGAGTTACTTAGTAGACATCTTGGTTATCAGATTGACTGTCAGGGCATCACAATGCTTTTGTTTAAGTTACCATTATTTTACTTGATAATGGCCCAAAAGCAAAGGAGTGGTGATGCTGGCAATTTGGATATGCCAAAGAGAAACCATGATGTATATGTGTGTACGTACAGGGAAAAAATAGTATATATAGGGTTCAGTAATATCTATTCTGTTTTCACCTGGGATCTTGAAATGTATCCCCTATTTGATAAGGGGAGACTTCTCTATATGTCATTCTGGAAAAGGCAAAACTACGGAGACAGTAAAAAGATCAGTGGTTTGTCAGAGGGAGGGAATGCATAAGTGGAGTAGAGAGTTTTAGGGCAATGAAAATATTCTGTATGATACTATAATGGTGGGTACATGTACTTATATATTTTGTCCAGATTCATAGAGTGTATAATAGTAAAAGTGCACTCTCCTCTAAACTATGGGCTTTGTGTGATTATAACTTGTTCGTGTAGGTTCATCAATTATAAAAAAATATATCATTGTGTTTGGGGATATTAGTAATGATGGAGGCTCTGCATATGTGAAGTCATGGAGTATATGGGAAATCTCTGCATTTTTGTTCAATTTTGTTGTAAACCCAAAGGTCCTCTAAAAGGAGTCTTTAAAATAAAGTGTCATTTTGTGTTGTACTCACCATAAACTACCATATGCAGGTGAACTTATTTGAGACATACTATTTGAGACAGTCTTATGACAAGTTATCATTAACCTTAATCATTCTACCCTTTTTTAACATTTAATAGTCATCTCTAAATGTTATTTATATCATAATGCTTTATAAAGAACGTTTATGACTTGCTATAATCATAGATTTTATGTCAGACAGTACTCGCTCTCCATAAAATACCTGTTGCCTTCCCCTTTGCACAAGAGCCTTGATTTAGTTGGGAGTGGTAAATTGGTCCAGCCCAACCCTGCTCATAAGATGTCTTATTTCCTTCTTCTTTAGCAACTGGGGATATTCATATAATCCACTTCTGGCCAATAAAACTGAAGCAGAAGACTGCTTGGCAGAGGGGGACACTGAAATAATCACGCCTACCAAAACCTACCAATAGGACCAAGTGAACTCAGTAGGACCTCTGTCTACTCCTCAACAGAAAAACTAAGCATTTTTGAAGGAACTACTAGAATTTTTACCCATTGTGTTCATCATCTAATAAAAAAATATGAAACATGCTAAAGTATGAATAAACAAACTAGAGATTAAAAAAATAGAAGTAAACAGATGTAGATCCATAAATGATTCAGATATAATAGTTATTAGACAAAATATTAGGAAAATACAGAAAAAGATGGAGAATTGCAGGAGATACTTGGAATCTATCAAAATTGTTAAATAGAATTTTGAGAATGATAAATATAAGAGTGAAGCTAACAGTGTATTAGATGGTTGGAATGAAAGATCATAGACAATAGGACAAGGACTACTGGTCTGCAGGACATGTCTTCAGAAGAAATTCCTGTTATTAATAAAGAAAAATAATATGAAAGACGTCTGGAGCAAACCAAAATGTCTCACATACATGAATTGAAAGCTCTACTATTAAAGGATAAAGGAAAGTCATATTTGAATTAGGAAAGATGGTTAATCAAACCCTTAGAAAGTAGAAGGAGGGCAAAAAAAATAAAAGAGCAAAATTCTAAGAAATAGAAAACAGACATGCAATAGCAAAAAAGCATAGGTTTTTAAAAATAAATTTTATTTATTTTTTATAGAGAAGAAGGGAGAGGGATAGAGAGATAGAAACATCCATCAGCTGCCTTCTGCACACCTCCCATTGGGAATGTGCCCGCAACCAAGGTACAAGCCTTTGGCCAGAATCGAACTTGGGACCTTTCAGTTTGCAGGCTGATGCACTATCCACTGAGCCAAACCAGTTAGGCAAAAAAGAGTGTTTTTTGAAAGATCAATTAATTTGTTAAATCTGCAGCAAGACTGATACAGAAAAAGAGCAGAAGCCACAAATCAACATTTCACCTAACTGCATGCATACATATAGCAATGCAAAATTATGGAGTTTTATTTTCTTGACTATTATAAGATAAATCATCCCAAAACTCAGTGGCTTAAAACAATAATCCTTCATAAATCTCATGTGTCTGGAAGTTATCTGCTGATTAAGTTGTGCCACACTAGAGGCTAAGACAAGCATATAGCAAGAGGAATAGAGAAAGGAAAAATGGAGCCACAGATAAATCTACCAAAATCATCAACTACTGTATGTCAACAAAATTTAAGAAGATGGACAAATAATTTGAAAAATGAAATAAAATTGAAAGAAGAAAATGAAATATTCCTATATTATTTAAAGAATTTAAAGGTAAAGTTAAGATTTTTTCTTTCCATAAGAATGGCTTCCCTGGTGAATTTTTCAAATATTTAACTAAATAAATAAATAAATAACAAAAATGTCATAGAAACTCTCTTAGAAAACAGTTTATTTTTGAGGTTTACATGACCTTGATGGTAAAACTAACCAGGTCATTGTAAGAAAAATTGAAGGCTAGGGTTTTTCATGAGCAAAGGCAAAAGTCCTAAACAAAATTATAATAAATCATATTCAATATATACAAGGGATTATATATCATGATCAATTTGAAATTATGACATGCAGGAACTATTGCAAAGATTTGTTTAACATTAAAACATCAGTAAATGGAAGTCACTAAAATTAACAAAATAAACAAAAACACCAGGTGATTCTCAACAGAGATTCATATTAAAAATCCGCTAAGTAGGATGAGAAGGAAACTTCTGTTATCTGATAAAGTGTATCTCTCAAAACCTTCCACTCACATCACATTCACTATGGGAATAGTAAACTTTTCCCCTTAAGAGTGCAACCAAGTTGAAGATGCTCATCAGCACTTCTTCCCAACACTGCCCTGGGTCCCTGGGTAATGTAATAAAGCAAGAAAAAGAAATAACATGTTCAAAGATTAATTAAGAAGAAGTAAGTTCACCAGAGTTCACCAATGGCATTAGAAACATCTATATTATATATAAGTGTAAATAAAATTCAATCCACATTATTATTATTTTTATGTGTGGGGAAACAGACTTGACAAAACGATACCAATATCTATCCCGGAAAAACCAAACAAAACCAAACCAAAAAAATGTAGGAATTGACAGGAGACTTCAGGGTAGGATTGGGATGATAAAAAGAGAAAAGTTAGTGTGATGAGGTCAAACATTTATAATGTGTATTTTCAAAGAGTAATAATTAAAACAGTTTATAACTTGTAACATTAAGAGATGCCACAGATACATTATTAAATTCTAAAAAGTGCTGTTTGCTTTTATTTTTGTCAGTCTAAGCATACAGTTCTTTTAATAATAAGAAGAAATTGCTTTTAGTGTTACTCTTGGGAAGCAGGAATGGAAATAAATAGGGAGTTTCTATTTTTCATTTTGCACTTTACTGTTAAATGCTTGTATTTTTCTAATCATGTACCTATTTTACATTAGTTTCATTGTTACATTAAGAAAGTTGGTTGTGTCATAAAATTATGAAGTACTGTATTCTTTTTAAAAAATATTTTTTGTTGATTTTTTTACAAAGAAGAAGAGAGAGGGATAGAGAGCTAGAAACATTGATGAAAGAGAAACATTGATCAGCTGCCTCCAAAACACTCCCTACTAGGTACGTGCCCACAAGCAAGGTGCATGCCCTTGACTGGAATCGAACCTGGGACCCTTGAGTCCACAGGCCGATGCTCTATCCACTGAGTCAAACTAGTTAGGGCAATACTGTATTCTTTTATTTGCTTCTGTATACATAGCTATAAAAAACAATGTTTTATTATAAAAGGAAGGACGTTGACGAGTTGATCGGGAGTGATCTTTAAGTGACATTGCTTCTTAGGCAATCAATACAGAAATGGGGTGTTAAAGATATATATATGTACTAGTATGTATAATAAAGATATTTATATCAACATAAACATTAAGTGAATGAAATCAATTGCTTCTCACTTGGTGTGGTTTTTAGTTTTCATAAACTAAATTTTATTCAAGAGGTCTTTTACCACTGAGTCCTTTGAAACTTCATTGAGAAACCCTGCATTTTGCATAGGGATTGTCCTCCAGAGCTGACAGTTCTATGGACCCAGTGTAAATGTTCTTTTCTGACTGGTGTATCACTGCAAAAGTCTTTGAGAATTTTTACCCAAAATATTAAATTACTTCATCACTGGAGGGCCCCTGTGTACTTTCATATTCCAGCAAATAGCCTGGTAACCTCACAGGAGCAGGAAATGAACTGAAATTATAAAATGTAATAAACATTTCAAATGAGTTCACATCTCTGCTCAGCTCGTGGAAGTGTGGAGCCCTGGCAGCTCACACCAGAAGTTACATGATCCCATCAGCCTCCTGGCGACCAGGTGGGAACAGGAACGTTGCTGGAATGAGAGGCTGCATGAGGTTCAAAACAAGAGCCTTCGCAGACTGATAAGAAGCTGGAAAGCATGCAAAGAACGCAATCCTTGAGCTAAATGACCTAAATGGAAATTACTCACCCAGGAGCCCCTTCCTGCTGGAAACTCTTGGTCAAGCCCTGAAGAAATTCTCAATTAAAAAAAAAAAAAAGAAAATAAAAGAAAGGAAGAAAGAAAAGTCTCCAAGCTAAACATTTTTTTTTTTTATTCTGAAAGTTTTATAGTCATGAAACTGGTGGGGAAAGGTGGAATGATACTTCTAGCATTTGAATAAATTTGACTTTGTTTTCCTTTTAAAGCATCTTCAGTACCGTTTTTAATGGCTTTTAGGAAACAGCAGTTGTGTCGGTGTGCCTGATTCATGTGTTGACAGTTCAGATGGAAGCATTAGCTGTATCTCGTGTCATTTATAAGGTGAGAAGAAGTATCTGTACTGGTGTTAAAGGAAAGCAAAAAGAATTGTACAAGCAGAGCGGGCAGTCCTCAGATTCCAAGCAAGTTCTTCAAAACACATAAGAGTCGTCATTGGAAACTTGAATAGATTTTTCTCATAGAAAGAATGTGAAATTGTGCAAAGGTTCACAGGATAGTGCTGTATTATAACCATTACGTACATTCTATTGTAACATTTGGGTAAATGTATCTGAAGAATCTCAGCCAAGACTCTTAATGCAAAAGTAGCAGAGAGCAGCTCGCTGCTGACTAGGAAGAAGGAACTCATTACAAGGAAGCAGGGGGCTACCGCTCAGTGCAGGAACGCTGACTGGCTGCTTTGGAGCTGCGACCTGAACTATCTGTAAACCTGTCAGTGCTCCCCCCTATCTCTTATCTCTGCCTCTGGACCCAGCACACGGGCTCCTGTAGCCTCCTCCCTGTACACAGGTGCTACACAGTCACCAGATGAGCTTCTGATGCTCATCTACTTCCTTTGAAGATTTCAGATGAGACTGACTGGACAGGTCTCGGATCTAATTCCAAATACCCATTTCATTGGTTTAGTTTTATTATCTGTGGAGGTGGAGTCCTTGGGGTGCCATGAGGAAGAGAAATTCCTGAGGCCCCCATGAGAGGATGAGGTTTCATGGACAGTTTTCTTGATGAAGTAAAATTGAGGGGGTTCCCCTCCGAAGTCCCATCTGTGTCTGTCTCACCATGGAAGAAGTCCAATCTTGTCTTCAGCAGGGCCAGAATTGAGGCCACTGCTCAGCATTTCTGTTCCATATTAAAGTCCAGTCCAGTCCAGCAGCTGGCTAGCTCAACTTGTGTTCCCAGCTGCAGTCCATTGTGTGTGCGGTCCTCATGATCCATGGCTGCTTAAGGCCACCTGGCTATGGAGAGAACAAGCAAACACACGGGCCAGTGCAGGTCACAGAGCAGGAGAGAACCAGAGTGAACAAGAGAGAGGGAACACTTTGAGGATTTTGACTTTCCCAGATTTTATGTATTTCTGATGGGACCCACCCTGTAGCCAATCCATTGTTCCCCAGGCTACATTGACAGGCAAACATCTTTACTACATCACCCCAATTTCACTGTGCTTGTGCCTACCTATCCTTTCTCCCCTCAACAATCCAGTACTGGAAAGGGAGGGGAGGATGCTAATCCTCTTAGAGGAACAATGCTGAGTAGCTTCCTAGTATAGCTTTCCTTTCAATGTCTGACTTTTCTTTGCTCTTTGTTTTTTATTCATATTAATAACTAGATAATTATGACCATATCAGCTTGAGTCAAGTGCCCACCCAAAGCCCAATTAACTGCCAGGTTCTCAATCCTATGGCAAGGATGCAGTTCTTGGGAAAGTAATGGGTCCTAGTGCAGAAATCAAAAGTGAGTTTTGACTCATGGCATCTGAAGGTGATGCTACAGTCCAAGGTGACTCCAATGGTACATGAATGTCAGTGTTGGTGTCATGGAGGAACATCTCCAGTGTGGCTTAAGATAGGAGTGGGTAGGACACTTTTTTGTTAGTGTAGACCAGTGGTCAGCAAACTCATTAGTCAACAGAGCCAAATATCAACAGTACAACAATTGAAATTTCTTTTGAGAGCCGAAAACCGACTTCTGCGCATGGGCCACTGTATGTGCTTGCCCAAGTGGAAGAGTCACACTCAAGGGGCCAAAGAGCCACATGTGGCTCAAGAGCTGCAGTTTGTAGACCACTGGTGTAGACAATACTGCTGTGAACTTCCATGTAAATGTCTCTTTGGGGCATTCTGTAAGAATGGCTCTAAAGGGCACACCTGGAAGTCACATTGCATGAGTATCTTTATGAGATCACAGCAAAAAGTCACTGTGTTAATGTACTTATTCCACTGGTAATGTATAATAAAGAATTCCCTTTGCTTAGTATTATTTCAAACATTTGATAATATTACAAGGTGTCTTTATTAGCAATCAGGTGAATGTGAAATGGAATTCTCTTGTGGTTTCAATTTGAATTTTCATAATTACTATGGAGGTTAAGAATCTTTTCATATAATTATTAGCCATGAAGGTTTACCCTCTCTGAATTGCCTAATTGTATCTTCCCATATTCTATGGGGTTTTTATTTATTTATACATTTATAAGATTCCTTTAAGTGTTCTTTTAACTTTTATGTTGAAGTTGCATGTACATTTTTAACTTTAAGTGAATACAGTTTGAAAGGTTTTGAAGACTATATAATACTTTACATTCAATCATAAAATCAAACACTTTCATCTTACACAAGCAGTACTGAGTAACTAAATAATTCCCCCCAGGATATCTAGTCACTCAGTGGCAGCCAGGTATGGAACTGGCGTTCCTACACCCACAGGTCTTTTCCTGTTCTATCCAGCAAAATTATCAAGAATGTATGCAGCTCCAGCCCGATTCTAACTGCTGAGGATGCCAGCATGAAAGCCATAGACAACCCTTGTCATGTGACACTCTCACATCATACTGACCTTCCTCAGGGCAGACAATGCTAGCTACTTCAGGTTCTAAAATACACACAGTAGTCATCCATCTCCTTGAGCTTCTGCATATTTTTTTGAAACCTTCTTCTCCGTTTTTCTGCCACACTTATTCCTACTCCTCTTTCCAGATTCAACCTAGTCACCCATAAAATTTTCCTTTAACTGTCTTAGGCACTGTGCTATGCATTTCCTCCAGCAAACTGCCCTTATGGTCATTATCTGTTTTCAGGTGTGCCGTCCTACAAATACTGTGTTGCTGGGGAGAGGGTCCATGTGGTCTATAACCCAAGTACCAGATGCATGATAGATTTCTAACAACTGTTTGTTGAATGAATGAACAATTGATGGAATAAAAGTAAAGCTGGTGGGCAGAGGTTTCAGACTCCTTTTAAACAACAATATGTTCCAATATGATAAATGTGATGAGTGTGCTTTAGGTTACAGTGCCCGCTGCTCTATGTATGCATAAAGTCACGAATAGATTGGTTTCTTCTCATTTCAGAGCCTTTAAAACCCTTTTACCTCCCTGGGCTTAACACCTTTCATATGCCTGAGACGGATTTCTAATCATTGTGATCTACAACTCTTTGACCTATTGCCACAAATATCATTTGGGAAATGGTCATCTCTGAAAGACAAGCCATTACAGTACTTAAAATGTGCTTTAAATTTTAGGATATAGCCTAATTTGATCAGAGATGCTTTTCAGACATAGGCTCGGTGAAAATGTTAAAGACCACTTTCCTTTAGCTGAATCCATTTTCTACTAAAAGTGCATCTGGCAGATGTCTGACATGGTAAAGGTAAAGTGAAATTCATCACCTACTTTTCACAGCTGCACTAGGTGAGAAAGTGACAAATAGGCCCCTGAAAGGATTGTGACACTCTTGATACATAGAAACCTTTCTAGATTGCTTTCTTGCCCAAAAGTCACCAAGAACATCCTGCTATAATTTATTGTGAAATCAGGAGTCACTCAATCACTTCAAGGTCAGATTCACTTTAATTCACTATTGCTTTTATTATATCTAGTGTAATGCTGCTAAGCATTTTAAGTAGTTTGGGAATTACAAGTATTTCCACCAGAATAAAGTAGCTAGAAACCATTTTCCCTCCCTTTTTTCCTTCTCAAATTGCATACTTCACACAAACATTTCTCTAAAATTAAAAGAATTGACTCACATACAGTGTGCATCTAAGTGTGAGTCAAAACATCCTTGTACATGAAGTCACTTCCTGCTTGAAAATTAAACCCCTTTGGTTATTCCATAAATACACCTTAAACTCCATGTTATATTGCATATTGTTTTCTGCTATATCCTTGGTACATGGAACAGAGACTGGAACCTACATGTATGATTGAGTGATACAGGGAATAAGGTAAAACACATCTGAGATGAAGAACACAAAGATCAGAGAAATCAAGTAACGTTTTCAAAGGTCAAGTCCAAATGGCAACCCAGGAGTCTGCTTGGAGACCAGTTGTTATAAATTGCTATATTCTCCTCAAGCAATGTGGAATGTTGTATTCCCCACTGAGCTTGGAAATGTTAAATCCTATTCATATGAGCCCTAGGCTTTACCATCAGAAAGACCTGGGACCCAGCTCTGAGAGTAACTGTGAGATTCCTGGCAAGGTCCTCAATGTATTAGTTTCATGTGGCTGTTGTAACAAATCACCACAAACAGGCTAACTTGAAACAACCTAAATTTACTCTCTCACTATTCTGAAGGTCAGAAGTTCAAAGTCAAGGTCTTGACAGGACCATTCCTTCTGGAGGAGGCCTCTCCAGGTGAGAAGGTCCTTGATTTTTCCAGCTTCTGGCAGCTGCCAGTACTTCTAGGCTTGTGGCTATATCGCTGCACAGTCAACATCTTCTCATCTGTCACTCTTCACTCCCCATTCTCCTCTGTGGTTGGTAGAGTCTCACTCTGCCTCTCTCCTATAAGGGTACATGTGATTGCAGTTAGGGCCCACAACCTCAGCACATGTGCGTCAAATCCACCGTCTTCCTTCCTATGTGAGCATCTTTCATGCTGTTCTCCATGCTCTCAGGAAAAGAAAATAGAGTGAACCCTGGAATAGTTAATAGCTTCTTAATGTGCCCCTTTCTTCTGGAATCGACACCGCCAACATTACCTTCTCATTACTGTCAAACTTCCTGAAATAATGATCAAAACACTTCCTCTACGCCTACTTACATTGTAGACCTTCCTATCTGAATTATTCTACTGATGTTACCAAACTGAAATCTATCCATGAAAATCACCATATTTAATGATCCTTCTTACTTAGTGTTAACCTGGTTTTCACAATTTATAACCTCCTTTTTGTCCCCTTAAACTCTTCACACCTTGCTTCTGTTTTCCATTCCCCAGTCCTGTTCCAATTCTTTTATTTTGCACTTTTTTCTTTTATAGCTTTTATTCCTCCTTTTGGAACCTTCTTCATGTTGTTGTGACTTTAGTGTTCCCTTTACACTCTGTTCTTGGCATCTACTCTGTGGTTTCAATGACCATGACCATCTGGTGTTAGGAGTCCATTTCTCAGCCATTGCAGTCAGGTGATAGAAGAGAGGCTGATGGAAGGAGGAGGAGATCCTTTCTCCAGTCCTGATCTTTTTCTTACACATTCAAACCCCCTGCACATCTCTGCTTATATGTCCTGTTGATACCACAAATTCAATTTGCTTGAAACAAAGCCCATTTTTTTTTACCTTTAAATCAGTCCCTTCTTTTTCTCCATGTATATTATTGCCACCATGTATTAATCTTCCAATTAACCTGATTTAATACCATTGATCTACCTGTATTTTCTTCAACTTCAATCAATTATAAAAGACTACAAAATCTGTCTCCACATGGCCATCACCAAATGGCCAGACCTACTTTTCCAGCTTTCTTTTCTGCATGTTTCAATAGAAAAAGCTAACATTTATCTCAAGTCTTATAATGTCAGAATGCATAATTACTTGATTTATTTATTTTTTAAAAGGAGGGTGAGGTTTCCATTATTTCCAATTATCAAATATGTTTTGGGAAGATTAAGTAACTTACCAGATGTCTCACTTCCAGTACATGACACGTCAGGAGGAGGTTCAAGGCCATCTCCTGCCAAACATCCTAATTTTTAAAAACATAAAAGTATGTGTTCTAGACTTCTAGAGGCTTTCCAAACCGCTGTCATGTTTCTTGTATCCCCTTACAACTATTCTTACAAATATAGTCCCTAGAAAAAGAACATAATATCCTTAGCCTCTTGTAAAATCATTCCCACACTCCATCATTTCCATCCAAAATGTTCTTATCCTCAGATCCCAGGTGAATTGACCACTGACCCATGCAGTTCTTTCTCACCAGGAAGAAAACACTTCCTGTTGAATATCTATTGCTCTGTATTTACACTGCTTTCCAGGCACATGAGACACTAGATACGTGTCAGAGTTATTTGAGTACTGAACTCCATTCCTTTCATGGTGTTCAAAGTCAATGCGCCCATTTCTTCCTTTCCCACAGAAGAGAAATGTCTGTTTCAGAGCCTTGGCCTTAGCAGGTGCACAGTGTGTCTTTGCAGAGGGAATCTTTCCTTGATGAGCTTTTGAGCTTTCCATTTAAACTGTGTGAAGTTTACATCTTTAAAGAAACATTTTAAACATGCAGAAAGTATAGAAAGCATTCCCTCCAAGACACTGTCCAGTTTGGAAACTAAACATTACCCCAAGTTTCTTATGCATCTTTACCCATCCACCTGCTTCTCTGTCCTACATTTCACTTGTCTTGGTCTTATTTATTCAGTTTTTACTTTTCCTAAATATATAGAAATTCTCAAAGATTACTGATTCACTCTCCAGTAAAAGTGAATTCACATGGAAGCAGGAGAAACGGGTGATACATTTCCGCACGAGGCTCACCGGCTCCACTGGATCGGCAGCTGGATTTTCCTCCGGACATGCTGGACTCAGAATCAATTAAAACATAAGTCTCATATTTATTTTTAGTCTAGGAAAACATATACAGTCAGCATCTCAGTTCCCTAGAGGAAAAAGAGGAAACTTTCTGTGTACCAGCTGTTTCCTGGAGCAAGAGAAGTGAGAAGGCTCCCTTCATGAGTTTCCCTTCCTCATTAATTTTTTTTTTAATCCAGAAATGATGTATCTGTGATAATTTCTTCTTCTATGAGAAATCAGACATTACAGATGATAAAACTTAAAAAACCTTTTTTTTCTCTTTGTACTTTCAGGATGTTGTTTTAAAGTGTGAGGAATTTAAGACACTCTTTACAAAACTATTCTATACTAATAAAAGAGTAATATGCTAATTAGATTGGACATCCATCCAGACATACTTTTGGACAAAGCCACCGTGGCAAGGGCAGAGGCAGAGGCAGTTAAGGGCAATCAGGCCAGCAGGGGAGGTCAGTTAGGGGCAACCAGGCCATCAGGGGAGGGCAGTTAGGGGTGACCAGGTCAGCAGACAGAGGCAATTAGGGGCTATCAGGCAGGCATGATCAGCAGGCAGGCAGAGTGGTTAGGGAAATCAGGCAGGCAGGCAGGTGAGCCGTTAGAAGCCAGCAGTCCCAGATTGCAAGAGGTATGTCGAACTGCCAGTTTAACAGGCAGTCAGACATCCCCTGAGGGGTCCCAGATTGGAGATGCAGGCCGGGCTGAGAGAACCACCCCCCAACTGTGCATCAATTTTGTGCACTGGGCCTCTAGTTATGGTAATATGAAGGGATTTTGTGTTACATATAATATAATGTGAGACAGTTTGGATTTTGTCATTTATAACATTATTTTTATGTTTTTCCCTTTAACTGAAAATATTTATGTTCATTTAAAATAGATATTTTAAAAGAAATAATAAAATGAATATTCATGAAATCGCCATTCAATTTATGAACTAGATTGTTAGTTCTATATCAACCTATGACTACTTCCATATACTATTGCTTTTACTCTCCTTATGCTTTGTTTTCTATTAATTTGTTTTTATTTTTATAGTTTAATCACATTTGTCTATATCTCAAAATGCCATATTATAAAATTTTGCTTGTTTAAAGTGGTAGAAATGTTATCCTACTATAGGAAGTCAGCTACAACTTTTTTTGTTACCAAGTATTAAGTACTAATACTAGTACATACTCTTACAACTCAATTTTCATTGCTCTATTCAGAAGTGTTTCCCAAAATGTGGTACGCTTACCCCCAGGGGTATGGAAAGAGTTTGGTGGGATATGCGTTTCACCGGAGTTTGGTGGGGATATGCACTGCACCATGCTTAGCTGAGCCTAATTCTACATTCTCATGAGTACGAGGGGTACTCAGCATTACGGAAATTATAGAAGGGGTACACATATGTCAAAAGTTCGGGAAACACTGCTCTATAGTATTTTACTATTTGATATAAGAATTTACTGCTTAATTCTTCTGTGTACATATTTTCATTTCCATTTTTGATACTTTTATAATACTTCTATAAAAATTCTTATACACGTCTCCAGGGATGCACGCCTATAGAAGTTTCTCATCTGGTTACTTGTCTTTTCTTAATGATTTTTAGGAGTTCATTGCCTATTTTTACTTTGGTTAGTCTTACGTATTACAGGTAGCTTCTCCCAATCTGTATTGAATTTCCACCTTCTTTAATGAATGGAAGCTCTTAATTTTAATTTAATCAAACTTATCAAATTATGATTTCATGCCCCATCATAAATATCCTCCTATATTTTTTTCCATTAGGTTTGAAATTTGTTACACGCAGAATTATTATTGTTTATGGAGTGGATAAGAATGTAATTTTATGTTTTTATATTGTTTAAGCTCCCAGCATATTTTGTTGAATTTATAGTTTTTTTCTATTACTTTCTAGTGTCACTTCAGTTACCTATTAGCTTTACATGTTTACTTTAGCTTAAACCTTGAAGTCTCCTCTCCTTGCTGTAGGCTATGTACAGTGCCCAGCTGGCACCCCACAGTCCATTGGACTTTTTTTTGTCTTTTTAGGGCATTGCAAATCCTTCCCTTCTTTGTAATCCTTTTGAAATCATCCCAGTTCAGCCCCTTCTGCTGATCATGATTATTGTCACATCTTAATATCTGGTTCCAATTTTGTGATACTCAAAAATGCAGACAGATGGAGGAGTCAAGCAGATGGAGACCAAAATATCAGTTGCTACAAGAGGTGTGTTTTTAACATGGCCAAGTAAATTCTGACCACACTGACCTTTACCACTGATAACAACCAAAGACTCTGGGGGGAAATGCTATGTGAAGACTCTAGCAAGTACACATAAATAGGCAAATTCCAGGCAAAATACGAGATATTTGGATATACAAGAAAAGCTAGTACTAGCCGGAATGTAAAATTATGGATAAACATAAAAGACTATTATTATTCTCCTTCCTATTTCTTTAAAGCACATGACTCTTTACAATCAGAAGTTATAATGTTTCTCTGTGGAGTTTATATGGAGGATTTTCTTCCTGGTTCATAGCCAGCATCTACCTGTTATATGGAAAGGACAAAAGATTTCTCTGGAGCCTCTTTTATTAAGGACACTAATCCCACTCATGAGGACTCCCCCTCAGAATATAAGGACCTCCTAAAGGCCCCACCTCATGATAACCTACTACTAACCCTCACCTGCCTTTGGAGATCAGAATTTTAATATATGAATTCTGAAGGGGCACATTTAGACTATAGCAGGTGGACAGGATATGGGGGAGGCAGATGTTAATTGCCTGAAGGTCTTGTCTTAAAGAGATGGCTAATCACTCAAACCCCTAATTCTATCACCCAACAGCTTCCTAACCAATAGTGAAGAAACACAGCTTTTACAAAGAAAATAACCCTCTGACACATGAAGAAATGTCTTCTTTATCACTGTTGCACCGGGGGCGCCTTGTAGTATGCAGCTTACATCAAGCAACTCTTCTGTGAATGGCAATCTCGGGGACTTGCGTGTGACTCATTAAACTGCACATGACCAGAAAGAGGGGAGACGTGTCTCTTACTGCTTCAGCGAGTTGTGTTCAAAGGGAGACTGTGGCTAGTCTGCTTGCCACGGCTGCCAAACATATTACAACACATAAAGGAGGCAGTCAGTAAAATTGCAAGTGAATCTCTTTCTTGGGCAGTGACATCTCAGCACAGTCTGCCAAAAGAGCTGTGGAGATCCTGAGCCACGCCAAGGAAGGAAGGCCGCTGAACAGAGGGACGGTCTCCTGTCCTGGGCGAGGCAGGAGGGTTTCAGCAGCCAAGCAGTGAACCTGGTCTTACCTGGGGACTTGTAGTCAGCACAATCAGGCCTCAGTAATTGAAATGTACACCTTCAGGCTGAGATAGACATGCATTTGTTTTGAAGGGAGGGATAAAGGCTATGTTAATAAAGAAACAAAAAATAAGGTATGAATGATGGAAAATGGAATTCAACAAGCATTCATTGGAAGGTTATGACATTCAGTCCTTGTACAATAGGGAAGGCTTGGTCCCTCCCGCCTTCAAGTCACTTACTATTTAATTGTGATATGGGGGCCCCAACATAGTTCTCACCCTCTTCAGTTAAGGACTTCTTTAATTAACTGAGTAGATAATACCTGACATGGGAAGTGGATACAGAGGCACTTAGGAGGCCAAAAGGCTTATAGGAGAAAAGCACCTGCAAAAGGAAATAAATGGGAAGAGGATTGGGGGAGTGGGGTGAGCAGGGAGCCATCCCACCACCACGCAGACTGGAGGGACAAAGGTCATTGGCTAACCTTTGCAAGGAGGCAGTCCTGAGAGGCAGGTCAGTGAAACACTCCTGCGTGACACTGTAAATGTGAATGCATGACATTATGCATTTGACAAAACCCACAGAACAGTAGCACACAGAGAGTGAACCCTAATGCACTTCAGCTAATAATAATGGACTTCAGCTAATAATAATAATAATGAGTCAATATTGGTTCATCAATTGTAACAAGGGCACCACTTGTACAATGCACAATAATAACAGAGGAGGCTGAGGAGCGGCAGGGGGGATACGGGAACCCTGTATTTTCTGTTCGGTTTTTCTGTAAACCTACAGCTGTTCTAGAAAAAAAAAATTAGTTAAAAAGAAAAAATGGTACAGGAGGAGAATGGGGCAATATCCAAATGTCACCATATACCCCACTTTTAGAACATAATTTAGTTGTTAGATAGGCTGTCTGCTAAATGCCTGAGTCCCAGTACATAATGCTGCGTGTATTTAAATCACAAACAAAGAACAAAGAAAAATGATTCTAATATACATTTCCATTTTTCTCTATTCAGTGCAGACAGCGTGCTCATGCCTTTAAGTCGGGGACAGATGGCTCCGTGACAGGCGGTGGGTATTCATATGTGCGGGAATGAATCTCATTACAATCTGACAGGAAAATCAGAACGATCAAAACCAAGCCTCTGCCAGCCCAAGGGGGATGCTCTGGTGCAAAACTTGCCCACCAGACATGGCCTGCCTTGCAGAAATCATTAGGCCCTGGCTCATCCAGCATCTGGAGGCAGCCCTAAGCCTGGCCGGAGGTGGTCCCTAAACAAAGACAGTCATATGCACTGAATTATTTAAAAAAAAAAAAAAAAAAAAAAAAGGCAGAGAGATTTTCATGCAATCTGAGAAATCAGATGGCGAATGTTACTTTCATTACCTTTTATTTCCTTTGTTTTTTGGAAAGTCTAACTAAGCCAATTCAATTTAAAAATGAATTTCTAATTACAGTATAGGTCTTTGAATCTCCTTTTCTTGCTTATTGTTATCTTGCTACACATCCTTGAAGATGTCTGTTATA